TCAGTGGTGCCCATTATCTATTTTTCGAAATAAACATATTTTAATAATAATAATATATTATAAGTATCTTTATTCATCCTTTTTTTCAATTACATGGGTCTTAATTTCTCCAGCAATCGGTGACAACCCAAGTCCCTAGACCATAAACCACTTTATTTTTTTTTTTACCGTAACACAACACACTTTCTTCCAAGTGACCAAGTTGGTACATGATTGTTGTCGGTGGACCCGGCGATGTATATAATAGACTGGTCGGTAGTATGCGACAACCATTTTCAAACTCATATTTAACCGGTTTAGTTCTGAAGGGGCAACCATAGCCAAAACTCTGCGCATATTACATTGTACTTATATAATTATTTTTGAAATTATTTTTTTAAACCGAAAGTACAAATATTTAATGTATATTATAATATACCGATAATATACCTGTTATTTAACGTTATTTTATCATAAACACGATACTCCTAGTTGTGCCCGTTGTACGTTTGAATTCATATGCATAATATATATATATCTGTTTTTATAATTTATTGCTTTTTTGTAAAATATATTTTAAAATCACTTAGCATCTCCAAAGATTCAAAATTATGGCAGATTGGGCATATTGGTTATCCATTATGAATCCTACTTCACTTCACCAGAAAGTTATTGAATGTAATTAAACCTTAATAGTTATTATATTATTTTTGAAAGTTTTTTTTTTTAATTTAAATTTTCACTAATTGTAATATTATTTTGTGTTAGCATTCAACCGGAGTTTTTCAAAGTTAAAAAATAGAGCCAATGATAGAATTGATGATCTTGCCATTCAAATATATACGGAAAAAATTAACTGTCAATTATGCGCCACATTTGTAGTCATGGTAATTGTTATATTTTATTTTTATATTATTAGTTCCACAATATAGAAGTAACAAAAAAATAATAATGTACATTCAAATGTATTTTATAGGACCGCAAGGTATTCATGCTGCTCCATATGTTTCAAGAGATGGATGAACGACTATGACGGTGATGATAATCGCCATGGTAATATAAAGTGTAAAAAGTGCGATAGACCAATCAAGGCCGCGCTGGATACCGAAGATCTTGATTTGTTTTGTGATCTAGTTGAACTCGATGAAAAAATAAGAGCAGATAAGTGTTAGACTCTGCTGCGCAGTAGGTACATGTGGGTCACTGCAGTAATGGATGGTAAAAGATTTTAAGCGGAGATAGTTTGTCAGTCTAGGATATTTTATATTATATTCATATTGTTGTTATTAATACGGTAGCCTAGGTTGAAGTATAATAAATAATAATATTTGCATATTATCATATTTGTACATTATGATATGATTCAGAAGTTTTTAATACCCACGAAAAATATTTTTAATAATGACAACAGAAATCTAAAATCATTATTCGTTGTTTAAATAAATAAATATAATAAAATATCCAAATTTGACTTATATATAACTATAAAAAAACTTTGTTATACATTTTCAATCCTTAGCTGTACAAATGGAACATTTTATACATTTTAAACAGCAAAATAATGTATTTAATATAATAGTTAATTTGCAATTTGATAATCTTTGTCAACATTCAAACTTTAAATCGTTATGAAAAAATATTTTTTTGGTAATTTTAATATTTTTGATTTAACGAATAAAATTGTACAGTCATTTAAAGAAAAAAAACAAAAAATTTTTTAATTTAAATCGTCCTTAAACAGCTGTATTGTCAAAATATTTTGAATATGTTTATGATAAAATAAACTTATGCTGTAAAAATATGTATAGTATCTACGGTTAATGAGAAAGCGAGTAGTTCTAAACCTTGGGAATAAAACTTCTATCAAAAATTATCGTGGATTTACTCTCAACTTTTTTTTTAATTTCCCTTTACATCAACTTACAAGGAACTTTGCATTATATTTTTAAGTTATTGACGGAAAAAATTTTTTTTATATGCTTTCAATATAATATATTAATAAAAATCAATTAACCAAGTCCTAAGAGGGTAGGGATCTTCAACTTTAAAACTGTCACTGGTTTGGTTTTAAATTTAATATTTACATACACATATAATATGTATACAAAATTTTGTTTTTAATTTGTTTAATTTTAATATATACCTAACTGAGTCGTTTAATTCTGCTAAATGGTGTTTTTAATCTTTTATGTTCAATCTAGGTGAACATTTTGATTATCCTGTATTAGACGTTGCAGCGATGGACCTGTTATTCGAGAGCATCGAAAATGATTCAAAGACCAACCTAACAGATTAATACAAATTCATCGATATTTACACATTTTATGATTTTATGTGTTATAAAATACATGAAAGAAGTGTAACAATAATTAAAAAATCATTAATATTTACTAAATCTTACAATTATTTTAAACAAAGATCTTTTTATACAGCAATATATGTCAACAATTGTTAGATATCAGCTTTTTATATGTCAATTAAAATGAAAATGTGTTTGTCATATACCACTAGGCAGTAACACAGAAACTTTATTTTCAGTAAATCATAAAATATTTTTCAACGTTATATAAATCCATGGAGTAACAAAAATATTTCTTTAAACATTTTAAGAGATGGTATGCAATTGTATTTTTAAAGAGTAAACTATATCATACAAAGTAGAGTTTTTTGATACATTTTGGTGGGTCTTAATGGACTTGCTGTTTATTAGCTTATATTAGTCAGAAATGAAAAGCAGTATAATTACACTTTTATTTGGAGTTATTGCCCTATGCCATTTGACACGTGTTCATAATGTGATGTTTATGTGTTTTACAAATTTATATAATATTTAAAAAGTTGTAATCACATGTTTATTTTATAATTACATTACCTCAAATGTATTTTTAATTAATACCTACATATGGTAACATCTCATATAAAATCTTCAATATTAAAACAACTTTATGAACACATATTCCAATGATTCAATAATATAAGAATGTAATGATTCCTCTTAGATCAGTAATTTTTTTAGAGGGACAAGAAATGTAGGACTACTTACTTATTTTTATTTTGCGTCAATAATAGTCTAAGGTAAAACTTGCAATGTGGCCATGGTTTCTCTTTTCACAGCCCTATTTGATATATATTTCGCCTACATATTCAATTAAAAATATAATTTTGGTATGTTTAAGTATGACTTTTTAATAAATAATTTTAAGAACAAAACATGACAACTATAAATAAAAAGTTAAGTTTCTTTTTTCAAAATAATCAAATAAAATAGGTACATCTCTACTAATAACTGAAATAACTCTCATAATATATTAAATACAATAGAGTAAAATAGATTATTCTGAAAATGTGTCGAATTGTTATAAAATTGTCAAATAGTTAGACGGATACAACACTTTATACGAGTTCTTGAGGGGTTTGAATAGACAACTTTAACTATGTTATGCCAGGCTGCAAGAACAATCATTTAAGACCAATGCTAATCCCATATGTTTTTTATCAAATCGACCTTAGTGACTGACCAGAAATTAAGTACTTCTAGTGGTTTGACTTATAAATGTAAAGGTTTTTAATTTGATAAATACATTTAATTTGCATCGATTGGAGCATATATTCAATATTTTTAACAGTTTTTAATATATTTAATATAAAAAAAATTAAAAATTGATAAATGTAAGATGTTTATTCCTGTCAAGAATTTGATAAAGTGGGAAAAAGTACTCCTACTGTAACTGCTTACAGAGAGGAAGACAAAAAGAAAATAGAAACTGATTAAAAATTTTTAATTAAAACACTATAAGTAGGTTTTAAATTGTATAGCAAAAAATTGAAACATTTATGAATACCTCAACTATATAAAATGAAATTATGATTTCTGTAACTGGAATTTGCCAAAGATTCACCTGTTAGACTTTCAATCTTCATTTAATATGTTATCTTCACTGACATATCTTGCACAAATAGCAAGCTGTTCTTTTGTTGAAATATCTGTGGTTTCATCGGCAAGTACCGGGAAACATTTAGACTCGTTAACATTTTTTGCAATTTTTCTCAATATTATTGTATTACGGCACTCTATTATATTATTTTGGATAGGACTGGTGTACTCATTTCTTTTCCCTGGATCTTCAAGAACGTTTCGTAAAAAATCATCACCTTTTGCTCTATATTTAAGTATGGCCCGAAAATTGCCTTGTCTTAAACCATCTTCAAATAATAATAATTTAAAAAATGACTAAAATAATTTAATATAACAAAACCATTCAAGAAATGCATTATAAATATAAACTCACCGTCAACTGAGATGCTACCAAAATCTTAATCACCGCGTAATGCTAACCACGACTATTTAGAAAGCAGACATACTTATAAGTGATATCATAATATATACTATATTCTATATGCACTCCAGTCAAAATATTGTAATATTTTTAAACAATACTATACAGTTTGATATAGTTATTAAAAACACGCAGTAGGGATGGACATAATAATATGTTATGTTTGCAGTATCTAGATCAAATCGTAATTAAAAATAATAAACATATTTGAAATCAAACCGATCGGTGCAGACACTACTTAAACGCCCCAACTGTGGCGACTATTTTTCATTTGACACCCTCAAATTAACCCTCGCGTTAGCCGTGGTATAGTACGAGACTAGAGGGAAAAAACTACGATACAATATAGTTATATAATTATTAATTATTAATGTTATTATTATTATTATTATTAAAATCTTTACATTGTAAAGACTACGATACATTATAGGACATTAGGATATTGCATTAGTAGTATACTAGTATAGTGTCAATATAATTCCGAAAATCAAAAACGATTTCGAAGAACAGTGTTATGAAAACCACCAATTACGAAATTCAGCGGCAGAGGGCGGTGGCTGTACCGTATTTCCGACAGTAATAATAATAATATACCGCGGTATACGAGCGCTTCGGCGCGGAGACTCGCGTGGCGGCGGCGGTCCGACGGAAAAATTTTGGGCAGCGGCATTCGCGAATCGCGATTCACGTCCGTACGGCCTGCAGTGTGTCACGCGCGTCTCGGTCGTCCGCTCATAACGCTCGCCGCCTCCCAGCCGTGTTTTCGGCGTGATGTCCCGCCGCCGCCGCCGCGTTTACCAAGGCCCCGAACGATTATAACAATTCATCGCTATTATATAATTAACAATACAATGAATTGTAAAATTATATTACAAGACGTACTAATACCATTTCTAAACGTAGTATAATATAATCACTTATAATATTATTAAAATAATATGATATTATAATAGTTGCGGTCTTCCGGGCTCCTGCGACACAGTTCGGACACGCGTAAATAGATTATATAATTAAACGTAGTGTGCCGTCGGCCGACGGTTTGTTTTTCTTTTCGCACAGTTCGTAAGTATATATTATTATGTTATACGAGTGATATATTATAATGACACGAAGGATGGGTCGGACTCCGTTTTTTTTCTCGAACTGTTCGAGATCGAATGGATACTTGAACACAAATCCATTTTTACTCAAACTTTTTTCGAACTTTCCGAACCTTCGTAAAATAATCAGATAACGACATAACACGATTAGAAAATCGTGAAAACTAAAGATATGTTCGCGAACTATGAAACACCCCGAGTTTTGAAAAATTCGAATAGTTCAAAGTTCTTTGGGAATGAATTAGGTATTCGAACTTGGACGTTATTTCGAACAATTCGAGAAAAATCTAGTTCGATATCAATACTTTTATAAATATAATATTGACACCGATTTTTCAGTTAAGTATTTTCTATCCAACAAAAAATAAGTCTTCTAACTTTTCATTGCGTAAAAGTGGTATTCAACAATATTTTGAAATAACATAAAATAAATGTTAGTATATGTCCATCAATTTAATAGCCATTATATTGCCAATACGACATAAAACGATAATCCAGTAGTGATTATTTTATATATTATTATATTTATCACGTTTGGGTGCAGTGGGTATAACGCGTAACATGGGTTTTTCATATTATTAATTATACCTATTAATTTGCAAAACCATTAGGTATGTACGACAAAATCGAAATTTATTTTAAAGACTCCCTTCGAATATTGTATAAAACGATTGGTTGGCCATAACACACATTTATTTTTAAATATATAAAAATTCCCCCAAGCTAGAGGGTGTCCACACTGGTGGGCCTCCCTCCTCACGCCATTCATGTTGTTTCTTATATTATCAAATATACCTACTTATTGTATGTATATAAATATTACAGATTGTAAATATTCTATTTTATCTGATAAAAAAAAAATATATATATATATAAAAAAGAACAGGCTTTTTATGTTCCAATTTTGTGATGACTTAACGAAATTTAACTTTTTAAAATTTTTTTTTTAGAATTGCTCCAAATACCATCCCGATAGTGGCACACGTCTTCCGATTTTTTATTTATTTTTTGTCTCAAGAGAAGGAGAGGGGGGATTGTATTTAAAGGTTATGGGGTTTTTAAGTGTCATTTAAAAAATTTAACGAGTTTTTTTTCCACAAGCTTGTATCAAATGAGCCTATGAGTGATCTTTTATTTACAATTTCATATTATTCGTCATTTCGGTTATAATCATTTACGCTACTAATACCATTTAGCTCTTGATTAAATTTTTTTTTCCTTTAAATACAACTAGGTATATGTGTATTGTTTTAAGAATTTCGTTTAGAAAAAGTAAAAACTCCACACGGGCGAAACCGGGTAATTCAGTTAGTATATATATATAATTCAGGTAAATACCTACAGTACTATATCGAATATCGAAGCGCATGTCATGAAACAAGTAGTTATCTTTCGTTGAAAAACGTATTCCTTTTTTTATATATTTAATGAACAGTGTGTTATAACCTGCTTTTCATTTCTCTTAAAATTCCCCCATTTCTTAAAGTAACATTCAATGTGCATATTTTTAGACGTATATGTTACAAATAAATAGAATAAGAATTTGAATGTTTATTTCATACACCACAAAAAGTTGGACAAAGTGAGATGCGATCATTTTCGCTGGAGTGCAGACGTGCAGTCAAAATGTAACATATTCGTTCAAAATATTATGTTAAACAAAAATGTTTCGAAAAATATAACTAAGCGAATTTCTGTCTACGATCGACACTGATAAACCGTGAATAATGAATGCATACATAGACACAAACATTGTTTTTTTGACTGTAAAAAAATTGTCTTATAACTTTTAAAACGTTGATATTTTACAGAGAATGTATATTATATGTAATAAAAGCAACTTCATTACTTCTATACTTATAAAAATACACTTCTTATACAAAAAAATATAGATGATACGTTTTAGTTTTTAAGAGTTATAAATTATAGACAAGGTATATAATATGATGTTATATAATATTAATTTTTAACCACAGCTACTGTTTTTAATTTCGTATATACTGGATATTTCTACATACATAGTAGAAACCAATATATTACAGTTTTTTTCTCATCGGTTGTCAAGTAATAAACGTGTAACACCGATCACGTGTACCTATTATTTGAACAATCATTTTTAGTTTAAATATAAGATAAGTGTTATAACAATTATAACTAACGGGGGGCTCCTCAAAAACTTGTACAGAGCTATTCGTTCGTATTCTTCTCTTTGTGCAACTAGAAATAAACTCTTCAAAATATATTTTTATTTTATAAGTAAACACGTTACATTTTTTCTACACTTATTATGAACCATAAAGAAGATTATTAAATATTGTCTTGTTTTACATAATCCATGTTTCGTTAGTAGTTTAATTGGTAAGAAAAATACACGAATACAAAAAATATAATGAAAATGGTATAAGGTTATTGAAATATAGTTAATTATAGTCGGTGATTAATCATTTAATTAAAATTACGCTTATTTACTATTATTATTTTATTTAAATACCTACTTGACAAAACAATCAGCATTGCTTACATACGCTGTGTTTAAATATTGCGTTATTGTCTATGATTATTCAACCTTTCCTCGTAAATTTATATTTTGTCAAAATTTGATAACCGACTGTAGAGTGTACAATATCTTGTGCCCGGAGAAGAAACATAAAAGTCTCTAAAAAAAAACACACAATAGATGAGTTTGCATTAAGAAATTTGTGTTTAATTTATTTTCCGCACGAACAAAGTATTAAAAAAATAAGTCTCATTTTTTTCCTCCTTATTATTATAATGGCCATCGCAGTTTATTACTATATTCAAAAATAATTTGAAAATGTCTTATTTACTTAATTATTTGGTTTGAGAGGTAGTTTCTCAGGTCTTTGATTTATAAACCACGAAAAATCGAGTGGTACGTTTAAGTTGAGAAAAATATTGTAAGAATAATTGCTGTTTTACATAATAGCTAGTTGTCTACACGAATAATTTAATTTATTCGTATAACTTTAATTTACTAATATTACTTCCTTACTTCATATAATTCTACATCTTTACATTTTTGTATAACATTATTTATTTACTGTTATCTTAAATTCTTTTGTTCTATTTTATTTTCCGAGACACCGTGCTAGAGTATGGTAATTCATAATACCAGCACTTGTAACATTAATATCAAAAATACTGTCTTACACAAGAATAATTATTAAAATAAACTGTATTTTACTATATATTTTCTCATATTTATATAAATACCTGCCTTAGATATTTTGAATTTTATAATAAATCAGTTTCATTAATAATAGAATTAATATGTCAAACCGTTATTCAGTCACCTCTATACAGCCATACCTAACAAATGGTCAGTTGTGTGTAACTTGTAATTATATTTTTTTTTTTTGATTTTAACGTAAATCATGCCGTCTATTTTTTGTTGCAGTTTGATATATTTTAAACGAATCGAAATAAAATGTTGAGAAAATATAATAATATAACAATCAAATAAGATTTCGCGGATTACAATTATATACTAAAATATAATTGTACGATTGTCAATTCTTATATTTCATTATTCACTACTCTTAAAATGAAATTTGTACAAACTGTTACCATTTATTTCTTTTACTATTGACCTTACACAATTTGAGCTTAAAAATTAACATTTAACTTGATTTTATAAATGAGCAGTGCTGTGAGTTTAATGCACGAGAAGTAAAAACCGTAAGGTATGCATTTGTAATACTTACAATATTTTGTATTAAAAACTAACATTCAGACGATTTCAAAATATTATGCAAAAAAGTGGCTTTGGAATTACTAAAAATATTTATATAACAAAATATTTTAATAAACATTTAAGATAACGTGTTTGATGTTCTTATCTATAGTAGGTATCTATTATAATTGTATTATCTGAAGTAGTTACCTATTGTTTCAGGTTTTAACATACTAACCAAAAGCAATATCTTTGTAATATTTGTGATCGGTTTTCGTAATAGCTTGCAACATTCGGATTGAAATATTATAACCTTATTTTCAGGCATCACAATACAAATGCAAATTATGAATGATACATGTTATATGTATTATAATGTTAAATGCGTTTTGAGTTTTGTCACCGAGTGATAGATATAATATTATAGTATATACGCTTATCTTCTTATGTGGTTTGTAAGAATTTAACCAAAACAAAAAGAAAAGAAGTAATGTATATTGTAAATAAATATTCAAACTAAAACAAATTCGTAATAATATATATGTTTGAATTGTTTATTTTCTATTGGTACAGGATATACTAATAAGTAATAACTAATAAGAATCAAATCATCTTCGACAGTTAATATATCGTCCAAGACGATCGATTCGTCTTGTCGTATTACATATTTTGAAGGTACCTATATATTTTAATATTATACCCAAAATAGTATAGTTTTAAGATGAAATACATTTATAATAATATTGTCCAATAAAATTTTCTTAAGATACAGCTGCGAACATAACAAAGTTGTATTATTTTGAATATTAATATTTTCGTCGTAACCCGCGGGGCGCAAGCCTGCTGTAATTAATGTAAATATAAATTAGTTTGAGTTTAAAGCGTTTACACAACAGCACTTTTCTTCGTTATTTACGGTTAACTTTCGTTAAAGAATACAAATGAAATATGTCGACCGAACATAATATATAATACAATATAAATATATAACATTAACATGTACTAGTTCTAATATATTAGGTTATTGAGGTTGGCTTATTACTCAAAACTTTTTACTTCCATATACGAAGCGCAGTATATATTGTAATAATAATAATTTATTCGAAACGAATGTACATACGAAAAATTATATTGTATAAACCACGGAAAACAAAACAGAAAATTGTGTACATAAATAAAAGACAAATAGACGTGCCACCCATATATCATTATATTTTATTATAATATTATAATGTGTGCGCAATCACGCAATTTAAAAATATTGCAAT